GCGGGCGTGCCAGCACGGTCTACCGTGCGTCGAGTTGTTGATAAGTATTGGATGGTTGAGTGGTGCGCCTGTTTGAACTCGTCTTCTAATCAAACGATTGTAGCCGAGAGAGGAACTGGTCTCGGCCGTTAGGTTCACGGCCTGAACTACAAGGCCGTTGAGTGATGGTGTTGGTGGTGGATTTTGGGCGGTGCTCCGGCGTGCTGCTCAGGGAGCGGCGGTCGTGTGATATATGGGGTGAGTGAACGAACAACAAGGATGGTGCTCCGGCGCCTTGAAAGTCAAGGGTCGTATGATATATTGATGAATGGATTTTCCTTACAACCTAACACTACTCCTAGGAAAGCAAGTAAAGATATTGAAAGTGCATTACAGGAAAAAATAAGTTGCTCCGTGGGAGGCTTGGTTTTGGTGTTGAACCCTTTGAATGTAGCTCGAGCCTTGTATTTATAGGGAGAGTCCCTGGAGGAGTAATCGAGGCTGAAAATCTGCATGGTGGAGCCTGATTAGAGCAAGTGGGCAGTCTAATCGACATTTGGGATCGTGAAGTATGGTGGTGTGACCCCATAAATCCTGGTGAATCTCGGCCGCCGTTCTTGATCGTGGGTTCTGAGCTTCTGGCCGTGGAGACGCATTTATGGCCTGGATAGCTGGTGAGCTAACCTATCAAGCTGTCAGAATTCTTGTGAGAATGTCCACGTCTAATCACTCTGATTCTCATCACCAAATCCTGACTCCAGTCACTTCCCACCTTCCCTCATGCATTAAATGCTTATTTGTGGCCAGTGGGTTTGCTGCATTAAACAGGCACTACTTCATTAAATGAAGCCTGGGACCCTGTTGTCACGTGATGATTTGCCTTTAATGCTTTGGCCGGAATTTGCCTGGCCTCGGCCTCGGCCTGCGCTTGAGGCCGAGATGATCATGCCTTAGCATTTCTTCTTTTGTCTTCAGGAGGGCGAACTACCCTGGCGAAACGCTGCGTTTCGGTTTTCACGAGCAAGGGCCGGGGCCGAGAAAAGGGGTTCCCTCGGCCAGCTCATGGCCGTGATTTATTAGGCACAAACAAGATCAGAGAGAGTGAGAAAGAGGGAGAGAGAGCGAGAGAGCGAGAGATTAAGAGAGTGAGACAGAGAGAGATCGAGAAATCGAGAGAGTCAAAGTGAGACAGAGATCAAGAGAGTGAGAGAGAGCTTGAATCGAGTGAGATCGAGATGAGATGAGAAGGATTTGGCTTGGAGAGAGCTTGAATCGAGTGAGATTGAGAGAGAGACAGAGAGCTGGGCATGGAGGAGAGTTCGAATGGGTTGAGAGTCTGAGAGTGCGAGAGCATGTCTGAGAGATCGAGGTTTGACGTTTGAGGCGAGAGAATGAAAAAAATTATACACCTTAAGGTATTCGGTACGGTACGGTACTAACTGGTACCAAATACCTGGTACCGCTACCGTACCATACTCCCTTGATAGGATATGGTATCGTACTGAATACTGCCTAATCCCAAATGAAACGGTATGAAACCGGTTTGGTACGATATGGTTAGTGTACGATTTCGGTATTTCGGCTTTAGATGCCCAGCCCTAGTAAAAAGGATGCACATGTGCATCTAAATTTGTATCTCATGGTTGTGATGCAAATTTACAATCGTTTACACCTCCCCATTGCAGGTGATTCCGATCACAAATGGTGTATATTTAACATACACCTCATTATACAACCCCCCATTGGAGATGCTCTAAGAGCTACGAAGGTTTCTTCTATAAATTATGGAAAATAAAGCTGGAAATGTGACTAGACATTCCCTTTAACTTTTCAATATGGGACAAATACTCTCAACACACCCCCACACGTGTTGCGAACTTTCAAGCTTAACACTAGACAACACATATTGGGTGACGTAGGAGCATGTGTGGCCATTGGGCTCAACATGTGAAACCTTGCTCTGATACCATGAATGAAGTTGAGGTTCCACCTCAAAACCAATTGGTAAAGGAGAGAGTAGCCCAACTCCTTATAAACCCAGACTTAGTCCCTTAACTTTTCAATGTGAGACAAATACTCTCAATATGAGAGAAGTTTGGTTGGACTGTACCTCCAAAATTGACTTTTGTTCCACTTGGGCAGTGCAATATGACTATTTTGTTGGAGATATATTAGGTAACTTCTCTACTTTAACAAACTGGCTAACTGAGTAATTAGCAAAGAAGGTTTGAGTGGTCCAAACGAAGTCATTTTCTTCAATTCAATCTTGGATTTGTTCCGTTGTTTGTAAGAAAATGTTTTTGAAAGATTTGACACCTTTCTTTGTTAGGTAAAGTTTTATGTATCTACTGTGTTTTTCTAAAATCTAATTGGATTTTAGGTAATTAGGTTATTCAATAATCTTCTTCGTTTTTATCTCAAATTTCTATAATTGCAAAAGGAGAATACTCCTTGTCAAAGTCTATTTGAATAATTGCAAAAGGAGAGTACTCCTTTTCAAAGTCTATTTGAATAATTGCAAAAGGAGAATACTCCTTTTCAAACTCTATTTGAATAATTGCAGAGCTCTTGTTTCTATTTTGTTTTTGGGTGGTGCCTAAAGATAGCATGATCTCATATATCCCTTTTCTCTAAGGACAATATTCCAGCTTGCATAAACGGGTGTAGGTAGGGTCTAGGGCAGAAGGGGTTCTTATTTTAAGGAATGCCAAAGACAGAAATAAGAAAGGTCTGCATGAAATATTAACAGGATTTTTGAAAACCCATAGAAAAACAAATTATCTGAGGGGAAAAAAAAACCACAAAATATTTACAAACATACTTTCATAAGATATATTAGAGTCAGCAAACGTTTCCTGTCCTAGCAAGCACTTCACATTGGTTAAAACTGAAACACAATCCAACAAATATATAGTCTCAATCATTGCCAAATTCTTGATGATGTGGAAGACAGAACTATGTGATCCTTCATATGCTTATGTTTCCCCATTCATCCCCACCATTTAGCCTCTACACCACATACTGCAGATTTCATGGTTTTTCCAATCTAGCATTCACCTCCATATAAATGTCGAATCGACCTGAATTTATAGAGGCCCGATGAATGGCCTGTTGCGGTAAATGGGTTTTTGGAGCAACAAATTAGAAGCCCAATAGCATTCATAGTCTAGAAAGGGAGATCATAATGAAGTTGCAGGCAGTGACTCCATTTTACTTTAGATGTCTCTCTACATCAATTTGTACTGGTGATTTCTTACATCTTCGCTAGTTGTCTCTAATTTCATTTCCATTTTATTCAGTACAAAGAATTTGTTGACGCCAAAAAGTGGTTCAAGACTTTTACAGTCAACTTAGAGATTTTGGTCCTTCGGTATCCTTAAGGCCTCGGTAGGGAGTGTGATATGCAATACGAGAAAACGCTCGGTAAGACCTAGGGCACCGGTGTGGTACTGGCCGAAGGCTCTCCGATGCTTAAGTAAGTTCGGGATTAGAAAGTTCAACTGACAGATCAATAGGCTCGTATGCCGTTAGTTCTGATTACCTCTATTTTGGGATAGTTGGCCTCCTTTATAGGCCTTGGGAGGTGTGCACTTGATGTAGAATTTCGATGTGGGACTGTGGACGTCGATTGTGAGCATGCCACATGTTCCAGGAGAGGGCATTGCCCTAATGGATGTATCGGTAGCCTGGGTGCCGAAGGCAACTTTGACCAGGTGCTGGGTGCCGAAGGCGACTTTGACCAGACTCGATTCTGTCCACGTGTTCTGTTCTTATTGGCCGTTCATTTTGGTATAAACAGAATTCAAGTCTTATTACTTGTAAGTCAAGAAAAGAACTTATACCAAACTTGTTAGATTTCTTGGTCCACAAGCAGTCTCAAACTTACTCATTATATATCTTTACAGTACTAGTGACACCCTAGCGTCATTCAGAAAAATTCTAAAACTAGCAATAATAGAAAAGTTGAACAAAGTGAATGAGGAATTATTCACTAGTTTGAGAAAATAGTAAATATCTAACATACCTCCTGTAACTTTCGTTTTAAGTTTGATTATGCAATTGAATTATTTAGTGGCGCAAAAACTGGCACTAATATCCACAAAATCCAAAATCCAATTTTGGAAAACAAAAAACATAACTTCCTCACCAACCTGTCACAGTTTTGGATTCTTTTTTTCTGTTCATAGGTGTCAAATGTAACTGGTTTCTCTTTATCTCTCGCATTCATCACATGAACTGATAAAAGAAATGGTTTAATAGGTACATCATGACTGTATTTTACAACGCGTGGAAAGCATGCAAGAATGCCAACCCAATTGTCCTTATCCTTCCTCATGAAAATTGCCAAAACATGTGGTGAAACAACTACAATGGCACACAGATTCCTCACCATATGGAAACCATGGGCACTATAGGTTGTTTTCTTGAGCTTATGTACCCTTGGCTTCCCTATAAATAAAGGTCTCTAAATTTTGAGAACATAATACACTCTTAGAATTGGCTGACTTGAAATGGGAGATAGGCCTCCCAGAGGCCAATGGAGATGGGTGGCTGGGAAGGATCCTCATAACTTCTCTACATTTTCTTAATTGAAAACTAAGGAGGTGACATAATAGGGGCTCCCTCCCATGCCACGCATTTCTATTGTTTCTGGGTTTCTCTCCCTTTTCCTTTCTTGCCGGGCGGTTGAAATTTCAATCTCTACCTGTTCCATAACTATATATGCAGGTATTTCTAATTTTTCCCATTCATTTGTTATAATCTATTTGTCAAGATATATTTCCTAATCACAAAGTATTTAACTACTAATAATGACACTCAATTTTACCCTCATGCCTTTTGCTATAGATCTACTGAAGCCTTTTGCTATAGATCTACTAGGTGTACGAAACAGGCTTCAGACATATTTATGCATTACCGGCTAAGTGTCCAATAATCAATCTTGTAATTATATATTACTTACATATTTATGCATTACCTGCTAAGTGTCCAATCCTTTTCCTTTCTTGCCGGGCGGTTGAAATTTCAATCTCTACCTGTTCCATAACTATATATGCAGGTATTTCTAATTTTTCCCATTCATTTGTTATAATCTATTTGTCAAGATATATTTCCTAATCACAAAGTATTTAACTACTAATAATGACACTCAAATTTACCCTCATGCACTCCGAATTGGATATTTCCAGTGATAGGAAATAGTGTAGGAAGTTAAAACTGAAGCCTTTTGCTATAGATCTACTAGGTGTACGAAACAGGCTTCAGACATATTTATGCATTACCGGCTAAGTGTCCAATAATCAATCTTGTAATTATATATTACTTACATATTTATGCATTACCTGCTAAGTGTCCAATCATCAATCTTTAGACCAAATTACTGGATGAAATAAGACGTAGGGAACGGTGTTTGTACATAGGGATACAGTTTGGTCATTTGCATATGGAGATGATTTATGTGAGTAGGAAGACAACCCATGTTATGTTTTGATTTCTCACAAGCTAGTATCCTTCAATGGAGCCCATCTCCTCGAGACCACTCAATTCATGTAGCAGGCCATACTCTTTCATCTATATATACACAAGAGATCAGGTTCATAGCCAGCAACTCAAGTCTCTCTCCTTGCCAAGCATCAAAGTCTTCTCTGTTTCCCAAGTCCTCTGAATTCTTTTTCTTGTTATAATTTTCCACTTGAGAATATAAAAACCATGGGATTCAGGTTGCCAGGAATTGTTAACTCCAAGAAGGGTCTAAACAAGGCTGCTACTTCAAAGACCTTAGACATCCCAAAAGGCTATTTTGCAGTGTATGTTGGGGAGAGCCAGAAGAAGCGATTTGTGGTTCCAATATCATACTTGAATGAGCCTTTGTTCTTGGATTTGCTGAGTCAAGCAGAAGAAGAATTTGGATATGATCATCCAATGGGTGGTATCACAATCCCCTGCAGTGATGAAACCTTCATTCATCTCACTTCCCGCTTAAGTGTATGAATGAAGGCAAATGAAGTGAATCTGGTTCATATCCAAATCAGCCTCAGTTCGATCAGAAGAACTCACCATGTCAAGATGAAGTAGAGGCTGTGATTGATCATATGCACATTTTTCTGTTGCTTATGAATCTGGAAGCCTTCTTTGATGGTCAAACTGCTTGTGAGCTGAGCACGAAGATACAAAATTTGTGAAGCAGTCGAATGACGATATCATGAACTCTCGAAGACTATTGAGCCCAAAATCATAACTCCAATTTTGAACTCGATGACAAGAAGATTTGTAAGCCATGTACGATTCTAAATGTTTTGTTCTCCAGGAAACATGAGAAAATAAATATGTTTTGATTCCTCATACTTTATTGTCTCATTTTTCAGTAAGCTATTATCTAATTGTAGCTTGTTGCCTCATGCAAAAATGGAATCTGGAAGTAGACCAAATTTGAACATCTCTCAATCCCAAAGTTGAAGATGGCGTCCTTTCCCAATAAATTATCAGATACAGATACAGCCAAATATTCTGATTTTCTGCTCAATGAAGTTGAAGATGGCTTGTATTAGAAGTAGTTTTATACTAAATAAGAACATTAAACATGGAAAAAAAAGTACAATTATGTTTCAGTCCCTAGTAGTTCACACTTAACAGGTCTCTTAATTTTGACAAATAAAAAAAAGGTATCTTACAATCCCAATAGTTTCTCGGTCCTAATCGATATCAGTAGATTAAGTAATTGTTCCAGAGGAATCCCATTTCTCTTGTCCTAATCCATTGGATTCTGCAGGAAGGCATGGATCATGAAGTCTTCGTCTTCAACATCAACAAGAAGAGTTAGTACCATCACAACTCAGATAGCACCACTACAACCCACAAATACTTTGGCATAGGATAAAAGATTCGAAATACTTGGGCATGACATCGAAATACTTTTGGTGAAAAACACAAAAAGAACCCAAAAATACTTTGGCATAGGATAAAAGATTCCATAATAATTTTTGAAGTAAGCCATTATACTTCAGTTCTTGTGAAAATCTGCTGCTATTTGGTGGTTAATTATATCAGAGAGCCAGAAGAAGATAGTAAACATATATAGTGCAAAATATAAGATAAGAATGGATGAGGATCTAAATTGTCTTATATATTCCCATATTCTCTTCTCCTCAAGAGAAACAACAACGTTTACATGGGGTTCAAAGAGCAAATTTGACTCTCTTTTAGTTCAAAATTGGGTCCATGTTTTCTGGGCCAATGGTCATCAAGAATTCATGACATTGTCATTCGACTGCTTCAAAAATTTCGGATCTTTCTGCTCAGCTCATGCAGCTTGCGATTACCAAAGGTGTCGGTTGATTACCGAAGGCTTCCCAGACTCACAAGCAACACAAGATGTGAGTGTGATCAATTATAGCCTCTTTTTCATCTTGACTCAGTGAGTTGTGGTCGAAATGAGGAAAGATTCGGATGCAGAAGGCTTCCCACATTAACTTCCTTAGCGCTCACTCATACACGTAAACGGGAAGTGAGATCAAGGAAGGTGTCTTCACTGCAGGGGATAGTAATTCCACCCATTGGATGATCATATCCAAATTCTTCCTCTGCTTGATTCAGCAAATCCAGGAATAAGGGCTCATTCAAATATGATATCGGAATCACAAATCGCTTCTTCTGGCTCTCCCCAACATACACTGCAAAATAGCCCTTTGGGAGGGTCTTTGAAGCAGCTGCCTGGTTTAGACTTCTCTTGGTGTTAACAGTTCCTGGCAACCGGAAGCCCATGGTTTTTAAATTCTCAAGTTGAATCAGAACAAGAAAAAGAATTCAAAGGACTTGAGAAACAAAGAAAGCTTTGCTGGTTGGCAAGTAAGAGACTTTGAGTTGTTGATGAACCTGATCATGAGTGTATATATAGATGAAAGCACTGTGAAAACTTATCTGCTACATGAAATGAGTGGTGAAGACAATGGATTGTGAGAAATCAAGAGATCACATTGGTTGTCTTTCTAGTCACATAAATCATCTCCCCACAGATTTCACATGCAAATGACCGAACTGTATACCTATGTCGAAACATCATTCCCTACATCCTTCAAATAACAGACAGAATCACAAGATACTTGTTTTTAGGACATGTTCTTCTTGACTTCATGCTCAAAGAAGGGAAAGACCTACACATCACTGACAAGGACTGGTGGGCCTGGATATGAAAATCGGTGCTGTATAACTTGTTTGGGAGCACCAAACCACCCTAGCATGTGGCTTTGTTGTTTCAAATCAGTCCACCAGTCACCAAACCACTCTAGCATGACCATCAATGTCCCCTGTCTCCAGTTGTAAATAAAAAGCTTGAAACCGATCGATGACCGAATATATAAATCAGTTGGTTTTGCTACTAATAAAAATTGTGACAACAAAGACAAGTTCCTCAAGCATGCCCCTACTGGAAAGGAGTAGGAAGGCAAACCCATGTGAGCTCTTGAATTCTCACCGGCCAGAAGGTTCATTGGTGCCCACCTCAGTGTCTCCTTACCACTCATTTCATGTAGTTCATGATTTTCCGCAGGTCCTTTCATCCATATATAAACACATGACCGGTCCATGAGCAACTCAAGTCTCACCTTGCAAAGCATCAAAGCCTTCTCTATCTGTTTCCCAACTCCATTGAATTCTTTTTCTTGTTTTGATTCCTCTTGAGAGTTTAAACACCATGGGGTTCCGGTTGCCAGGAATTGTTAACGCCAAGAGAAGTCTAAGTCACATAGCTGCCTCAAAAACCTTAGATATCCCCAAAGGCTGTTTTGCAGTGTATGTTGGGGAGAGCCAGAAGAAGCGCTTTGTGATTCCGATATCATACTTGAATGAGCCTTTATTCCTGGATTTGCTGAATCAAGCAGAGGAAGAATTTGGATATGATCATCCAATGGGTGGAATCACCATCCCCTGCAGTGAAGACTCCTTCCTTGATCTCACTTCCCGTTTACGTGTATGAATAAACACTAGTGAAGTTAATCTGGGAAGCCTTCTGTATCCGAAGTATTCCTCATTTCGACCACAACTCACTAAGTCGAGATGAAGAAGAACATGCATGATCACACTCACATCTTGTGTTGCTTGTGACTCTGGCAAGCCTTCGGAAATCATCAAGATGCTTGTGAGCCGGGATCCAAAGTTAAGAAACCTTGTAGTACAGTCGAATTACATATCTTGACTCGAATTTTGATCTCAAAGAGGAAATTATATTGTGTTTATACCCCATGTACATTTCTTAATTTTTTGCTCTTCTGGAACATATGGGAAGACATGAATCTTTAATTCCTCATCCACACTTTCTTGTCTTATTATCTAATTGTAGATCTGTTTTATAATCATCAAATGGCAGTGAAGATTTTCTCAAGATCAATAAAGTATAAAGGCATACTTTGCCTCATGTTAACATTACAGTCTCCCAAAGTTCATAAAAATCAAATAGTTTCTTTGCTAGGTTTGGTAAAATCTGAAGTAATGTTACAGCTGGTTGAGAGAGGTGTAAGTTATGATGACTAATGACAACTTCCCACTTTTTTTCTTGACCTATATCATAACACTACCTGCAGGAATCATTAATTTGGGAGACTGGCATGTCAAAATGTGCTCTATTTGAAGACATCATTTGTATATATGTGGCAAATTAATGGATACAAACTATAGTAACCCTATAGTGCAAAATCTGCTGCAAGAATTAATGAATGGAGAAGCAAAATGTCTTATATACTCCCATTTTTCCTGGAGAGATAAAAAAATTTACATGGGGGTACAAAGACAAAATTGGACTGTTTTTTAGTTCAAAATTGAAGTCATCGTCTCGGGCCTGTTGGTCTTAGAGAGTTCATGATATCTATCGTCTTTCGACTGCTTCACAAATTTTGTATCTTTGTGCTCAGCTCATGCAGCTTGACAGTTGCAGACGTTGTCCCAGATTCACAACAACAGAAGAAGCGAGTATGATCCATCATAGCCTCGTCATAATCTTGACATTCGAAAAAGAGAATGCTTTTTATATGAAGTTGGATCCCAGATTACCTTCCTTAGTGTTCACTCATACACTTAAGCGGGAAGTGAGATGAACAAAGCTGTCTTCACTGCATGGTATTGTGATACCACCCATGGGATGATCGTATCCAAATTCTTCTTCAGCTTGATTAAGCAAATCCAGGAATAAAGGCTCATTCAAGTACCTTAGATATCCCCAAAGGCTGTTTTGCAGTGTATGTTGGGGAGAGCCAGAAGAAGCGCTTTGTGATTCCGATATCATACTTGAATGAGCCTTTATTCCTGGATTTGCTGAATCAAGCAGAGGAAGAATTTGGATATGATCATCCAATGGGTGGAATCACCATCCCCTGCAGTGAAGACTCCTTCCTTGATCTCACTTCCCGTTTACGTGTATGAATAAACACTAGTGAAGTTAATCTGGGAAGCCTTCTGTATCCGAAGTATTCCTCATTTCGACCACAACTCACTAAGTCGAGATGAAGAAGAACATGCATGATCACACTCACATCTTGTGTTGCTTGTGACTCTGGCAAGCCTTCGGAAATCATCAAGATGCTTGTGAGCCGGGATCCAAAGTTAAGAAACCTTGTAGTACAGTCGAATTACATATCTTGACTCGAATTTTGATCTCAAAGAGGAAATTATATTGTGTTTATACCCCATGTACATTTCTTAATTTTTTGCTCTTCTGGAACATATGGGAAGACATGAATCTTTAATTCCTCATCCACACTTTCTTGTCTTATTATCTAATTGTAGATCTGTTTTATAATCATCAAATGGCAGTGAAGATTTTCTCAAGATCAATAAAGTATAAAGGCATACTTTGCCTCATGTTAACATTACAGTCTCCCAAAGTTCATAAAAATCAAATAGTTTCTTTGCTAGGTTTGGTAAAATCTGAAGTAATGTTACAGCTGGTTGAGAGAGGTGTAAGTTATGATGACTAATGACAACTTCCCACTTTTTTTCTTGACCTATATCATAACACTACCTGCAGGAATCATTAATTTGGGAGACTGGCATGTCAAAATGTGCTCTATTTGAAGACATCATTTGTATATATGTGGCAAATTAATGGATACAAACTATAGTAACCCTATAGTGCAAAATCTGCTGCAAGAATTAATGAATGGAGAAGCAAAATGTCTTATATACTCCCATTTTTCCTGGAGAGATAAAAAAATTTACATGGGGGTACAAAGACAAAATTGGACTGTTTTTTAGTTCAAAATTGAAGTCATCGTCTCGGGCCTGTTGGTCTTAGAGAGTTCATGATATCTATCGTCTTTCGACTGCTTCACAAATTTTGTATCTTTGTGCTCAGCTCATGCAGCTTGACAGTTGCAGACGTTGTCCCAGATTCACAACAACAGAAGAAGCGAGTATGATCCATCATAGCCTCGTCATAATCTTGACATTCGAAAAAGAGAATGCTTTTTATATGAAGTTGGATCCCAGATTACCTTCCTTAGTGTTCACTCATACACTTAAGCGGGAAGTGAGATGAACAAAGCTGTCTTCACTGCAGGGTATTGTGATACCACCCATGGGATGATCGTATCCAAATTCTTCTTCAGCTTGATTAAGCAAATCCAGGAATAAAGGCTCATTCAAGTCTGATACTGGAATTACAAATCTCTTCTTCTGGTTCTTCCCAACATACACTGCAAAATGGCCTTTTGGGATCTCTAAGGTCTTTGAAGAAGCTGAATGGTTTAGACTTTTCTTGGCGTTGAAAATTCCTGGAAACTGGAACCCCATTGTTTTTAAATTGGAGTTGGAAGAAGAAAAAGAATTCAAAGGAGTTAGGAAACAGAGAGAGTTTTGATGCTTGGCAAGGAGATACTTGATGCTTGTGAACTTGGTCATTTGTGTATATATATGAAATGGGATGAGAAAATTCATCTGTTACATGAAATGAGTGGCGCAGAGGCATGAGGTGGGCAACAATGAAGGACATGGCTTGTGAGAAATCAAGGGATCACATGGCTTTGTCTTCCTACTCACATAGGACATTGCACATGCAAATGACGAAACGTATTCATATGTTGAAACATTATTCCCTACCTCTTTTCCAGTAGGGGCAGGCCTGAGACATTTACTTCTCTTGGCGCTCACTAGCTAACACAAATTACCAAATTGGACTTCTTAATATTTTCTCGGTAATATGCTATGCTTGAATTTCATGGTTACTATTTGTTTTGGACTAACTCTGTACTGCATATGTTGGTGTCTCAATTAATGCTGCTTTACAAACAAGAACTGGTGGTGTTATGAAACTTTTGCATTTGGCCCGGATATGAAGGGATACTGTGTAGCTTGAGAGAACCATGAATAACCATAGAATTTGTGGCTTTGGAGTTTTTCATCTCTTATTTCCATAGTCAACAGCTAAGAAACTATCTTATTTTGTTTATTTGGTCAAGCTTTTTTGTATTAGTTCTGAATGGGACCACAACAGACGAGTACAGTGCTGGTCTTTCTCTTGATTGAGGTTGAATTGAATAACATAGAAGAAGCCATGAATTGGTTACCTAATCCACAAATTATTAATCAGTCTTCCAATTCGTTCAATCGAGTTTGTGAGCACAAAGAGAAGTGTGCATGTCTCAAGTATGCTTCTTATCTAATAATAATCTTTGATGACTACTTACCAGATTGAAAATGTTTATCTTCTGGTGGTCCCTTCTTGTCTCTAGGGAATTATGTTTCTACATAATGATGATTTAGGGGAGTAGGAAGACAAAACCATTTGATTTCTTGATTGCTCACAACCTAGTGTCCTTCACTTGTGCCTCTTCACCACTCATTTCATGTTGCAGACGATTTAATTTCGGCTTACCCTTTCATCTACATATACATGAGAGATCAGCTTTATCATGATCAACTCAAGTCTCTCCTTGTAAACCCTGCAAGTCTTCTTTGTTTCCCAACTCCATTTGAATCCGTTTTCTTGTTCTAGTTCCGGTTAAAAATCTAGAGTGCTGCTAAACGAACCCTAAAATTAACTGAGTACACCCTACTACAAAAGTATATATTGAATTACCGATTTACCCTAATATAAAATGACCAAAAAGGATATATGGAATTGTGAAACAATTATAATTTTAATAAGCACACCCTACTAACAATATTCAACCCTAATCAAGAGATTACTTGGTGCCCATCTTTGTGATCAGCAAGCCAGAATCGCTTGGAGCAGACAAAGCCAGAATCGACTAGTTCTGCATATTGATTGGAGAGCTTAAAAGGTAGCCTTGCTGTTTCTAAATTTTGAACTTTTGGCTGTTTATTGATTATTTATGAATAGGTTTCCCCCAACGCTGCTACAGTGAGCTCTTCCCTACTCTTGGGTATTTGTAGCCTCCCTGACACCATATTTAGAGTAAGCGTTCAATCTTCCATTGGGGAAGAAATCTTTCGAAAAATAAATAAGAAATTACATGTGCTTTCCAATTCAATATTGGACTACATGTTGTGTTTTCTGATTAATTTTTCTTTGGTGTAGAATGCTGTGGATATGGCATTGGTGGAATCAGAGTGTAATAAGCATGAAAACTCCGAATTGAGATTGTCATGCTTCAGTAACAAGGTTGGTTTTCTTGTATCTTGTCATTAGGAATACCCATGCCTTGTTAGATCGATCATATTGTTCAAAATTTAGTTATGGCATGTTGGTTTAGGCTAAAACATGTGTACTGAACAATAACGAATATGAGGGTTTTTTTTACAGCATCCAGAAGATGTATCTAAGCAAGACACCGACATCAATAAACAATGTGTTTTAGACTACGGAAACGAATTTATCACAAACGAGGTAAATTAATGAATATTTATAAATTTATTTTATAATTGTGTACATTAATTTAATTATTAGTGATTTTACAGATATTTAAAAGTCGTGATGCATTAATAAGATGGACTCATGAACAAGGGAAAACGAATGGCTTTATGATTATCATTAAAAGGTCAGATATTGGAGGAGCTGGTAAATTCAAGACTGGTCGAATTCTATTTTGTTGTGAGAGGGGTGGCCAATTTAGGAAAAAAAAGGTTGTGGAATTAGATAGCATGACAACACACAAGCTTGATCAAAGTTCAAACCCTTTGAAGAAAAAAAGTGTGAAGTCTACTGGTACGAAGAAGTGTGGTTGCCCCTTTTCATTGAAAGGTGTGAACTGTGGTCCTGGAGATGCATGGCAACTTGAGGTTGTATGTGGAGTTCATAACCATCCTGCAGCACTAAATATGGAAGGCCATTCATATGCAGGGAGATTAATTGTGGAAGAGAATTTACTAGTGGTTGACATGTCTAAGAGTTTGGCTAGGCCAAAGGATATATTATATACTCTTAAACGTAGAGATAGGTTGAATGTGACCACAATGAAGACAATCTACAATGCCAGACAAAAAAGTAGGGTGATTGAGAAAGCAGGTATGTCAGAGATGCAGGTATTGCTACAAAAGTTGTTTGCCCATGAGTATGTAGAGTGGCATAGAAGCTATGGTACCGCTAATATTATAAGTGATTTGTTTTATGCTCACCCTACAAGTATTAAGCTACTGCACGCATTTCCTCATATATTGATCATGGATTGCACATATAAGACAAATAGGTTTCGCTATCCACTTTTGGAGATTGTGGGGGTGACGTCTACACATCTTACATTCTCAATTGCATTTGTTTATCTTAGTGCCGAGAAAGAAGACTACATATGGGCATTGGCTAGATTAAGGAGTGTTACGGATGATAATTCGATTCCTAGTGTTATTGTCACAGATAGAGAGTTAGCTCTCATGAATGCACTCCAGAAAGTCTTTCCAAGTGTTCGACATTTATTATGTACATGGCATATTAATTTTACATTTTGATTAAAATATTACGGTGTACTTAGATCTTAGGGTATTTTTGGTAGTTCCATAGGAAAGCACCTCATTAGCTGCTTTCCCTTATAGCTTTCTCTCACAGGAATTTTTAACAATAAGTGATTTTCTCATAGTTTACCAAACAGGCTGGGCTTCTCAAAATTTAAAAAAAATCACTTATTACCCCAAATAAGCAATGCCAAACTAAGTGGTTTGCTATAATAGCTTTCTAGCTTTTTTTTTTTCTTTTTTTTTGTTATGGTCAAAGTGAAATTCATTAGATAAGAAAATTATGGTAGATAACCAAATGACATAGGATCAGAAACACAATCCCACGGCAAAAGCCCAACCACACACAATAAACAAGATCCAACAAAATGAAAAAAGTAACAAAAGCCCAGGCCAGAGCAAACAAAAGCCCAACAAAACAAACAAACTAGAGGGACAGCAAAATAACTAACAAACATAAAAAAAAAACCTAGCCGCCACCACATGGAGGGAGAACCACCAATCTGCACCAGCACCGAAGGAACCCAGCAACTCCACCATCAAGATAGCACCAAGAACAAAGAAGAACATAGGAACTCGGAGAGATGTCTTGGGAGGATGTATACAGCCTCCAGCGACCGATAAGCAACAAAAGCGCTTTAAGGAGATTCCAAAATCACACTCCAACAGATGCCAACATGGAGCCATGGATCTGAAGAGGATGAAGAGAAGTCTAAACCACGTACCTCAAAGACCTTAGATATCCCAAAAGGCTATTTTGCGTGTATGTTGGGGGAAGCCAGAAGAAGCGATCTGTGATTCCGATATCATATTTGATATGATCATCCCATGGGTGGAATCACTATCCCCTGCAGTGCAGGCTCCTTCCTTGATCCCACTTCGCATTTACGTGTATGAGTGAAATCCTAATGAAGTTAATCTGGGAAGCCTTTTGCTTACGAAGGATTCATCATTTCGATCGAACTCACTAGACGGGATGAATAACATGCTATAATTGATCGCACTCACATCTTGTGTTGCTTCTTAATCTGGGAAGCCTTAGGTAATCGATCCTAATCGATATCAATAGATTAAGTAGTTGTTCCAGAGGAATCCCATTTCTCTTGTCCTAATCCATTGGATTCTGCAGGAAGGCATAGACCATGAAGTCTTTGTTTTCAACATCAACACCATCACAACTCAGATAGCACCTGGTACTTGCTAAATACTTTGGTGAAAAACACAAAAAGAACCCACAAATACTTTGGCATAGGATAAAAGATTCCATACTTCAGTTCTTGTGAAAATCTGCTGCTATTTGGTGGTTAATTATATCAGAGAGCCAGAAGAAGATAGTAAACACATATAGTGCAAAATATAAGATAAGAATGGATGAGGATCTAAATTGTCTTATATATTCCCATATTCTCTTCTCCCCAAGAGAAACAACAACGTTTACATGGGGTTCAAAGAGCAAACTTGACTCTCTTTTAGTTCAAAATTGGGTCTATGTTTTTGGGGCCAATGGTCATCCAGAGTTCATGACATTGTCATTCGACTGCTTCAAACATTTTGGATCTTTCTGCTCAGCTTATGCAGCTTGCGATTACCAAAGGTGTCGGTTGATTACCGAAGGCTTCCCAGACTCACAAGCAACACAAGATGTGAGTGTGATCAATTATAGCCTCTTCTTCATCTTGACTTAATTAGTGAGTTGTGGTCAAAATGAGGAAAGAATCGGATGCAGAAGGCTTCCCACATTAACTTCCTTAGCGTTCACTCATGCACGTAAACGGGAAGTGAGATCAAGGAAGGTGTCTTCACTGCAGGGGAGAGTAATTCCACCCATTGGATGATCATATCCAAATTCTTCCTCTGCTTGATTCAGCAAATCCAGGAATAAAGGCTCATTCAAATATGATATCGGAATCACAAATCGCTTCTTCTGGCTTTCCCCAACATACACTGCAAAATAGCCCTTTGAGAGGGTCTTTGAAGCAGCTGCCTGGTTTAGACTTCTCTTGGTGTTGACAGTTCCTGGCAACCGGAATCCCATGGTTTTTAAATTCTCAAGTTGAATCAGAACAAGAAAAAGAATTCAAAAGACTTGGGAAACAAAGAAAGCTTTGATGGTTGGCAAGAGACTTTGAGTTGTTGATGAACCTGATCATGAGTGTATATATAGATGAAAGCACTGTGAAAACTTATCTGCTACAGGAAATGAGTGGTGAAGACAATGGATTGTGAGAAATCAAGAGATCACATGGGTTGTCTTTCTAGTCACATAAATCATCTCCCCACAGATTTCACATGCAAATGACCGAACTGTATACCTTTGTCGAAACATCATTCCCTACATCCTTCAGATAACAAATAGAATCACAAGATACTTGTTTTTAGGACATGTTCTTCTTGACTTCATGCTCAATAAGGGAAAGACCTACACATCACTGACAAGTGTTAGAATAGATAGTGTTATCAGACTAAGAAAATGAAGAAGAATAGGCAGAGAAGGAATCTGCAAAATTGCTCAGCTCAG